TCCTCGCCCCCTTCCGCCGGACAGCGCTCCCCCCTTCCTGCCCTGCGTCTCCTTGCCGTTTGTCTCCTCCCCCTGCTCTTGCTGCTGCCGCCCACGCGCGGCGCTCTGTTTTTCGCGCCTGGCCGCCCTGGCCTTCCAGCATGCACCCCGAGGCCTCAGGGCACATAGTGATTCCTTCCTCCTTCCCCTGCTCCCCCCCCGCCCGCGCCTGCGTCTTCGCGTCGCCATTTCGCCGGGGAGAATGGGGCGATGACGGCCCCGCGGCAGGGCGGCCTGCCGATTTCATAGGCGCATCTCTATCGTTGGCATCGCGTCATTGGGGTCTTGATGCGCGGAGAACAACAACTCTCACAGGGGTGACAAAGATCACGCGGGATGTCGCGGGGCGTCAGTGGATTTCGGGGGAGCTTGGCACCCTCCAAACGGCGCGAAAAAGTCACGACGACCCTTTCTTTCCATGGCCTCAGTTGTGACATTTCAGCCAGCTCAAGATCGGAAAAATTCAAAACATTATTTATGCTCCAAAACTGTTCCTCGCGCTTTTGGGGCAGATGCTCCAACAATGCTCATTGGTTTCGGTTGAATTGTGACGATGCTCCAAAAAATGCTCGCACGGTTTCAGGCGTCGCTCGACGATGCTCAAAATATTCTCGCGCGGTTTAAAGCAGTTTTGGTGAGATTATGAGGATGCTTCAAAAATGCTCGCGCGGTTTCATGCTTAGTTTGACGATGCTCCAAAAATGTTTGCGCAGTTCTGGGGCGCGTTGAAGACGCTTCCGGGATGCTCAGCATTCTGCGAACATCTTCACAATCTTGCCCGGAACCAGCGTGGCGGCATGTAGGGCTTCGGCATCCAAACACGATATCGCCACATGCGCGGGGTCCGGACCTGAATCGTTTCTTGACGTTCCCGAGGCCTGGCGAAGGCCTAGCCAAGGCCTTCGGCTGCCTTGCGCCATCTTCGGGCATCGGAGGCCATGCTGGACTCCAGTTTTTTTGTTAGGGCGCCGCGGGGCCCCTCCAATGCAGGGGGTGAGGTGCCGCGGCAAAAGTCATGGGGTTCGGCGCTGCCGAACTTCAGGTTTTTTTCGTCACTGCGCCGCGGGGCCCCTCCAAGGCAGGGGGGCGCCGTGACTAAAATCTGAAGTGTTGGTTCTGCCAAGCCTTAGTTGTTTTGTCACGGCGCCGCGGGGCCCTTTCAAGGCAGGGGGGGAGTGCTGTGACGAAAATCGCGCGGCCTGGCGCTGCCGGGCCCCAGTTTGTTTGTCGCGGCGCCGCGGGGCCCCTCAAATGCAGGGGCGGTGCCTTGACAGAAATCGTGGGGTTTGGCGCTGCCGAGCCATAGTTTTCTGGTCGCGGCGCCGCGGTGCCTCTCCAAGACAGGGCGGGTGCCGTGACAGAAATCACGGGGTTCGGCGCTGCCGAACCCGAATTTTCCGGTCACGGCGCCGCGGGGCTCCTCCGAGACAGAGGAGGGTGCCGTGGCAGCAAGTCTTGCACTTCGGCGCTGCCGAACAACAGTTTTTGTCACGGCGCCGCGGGGCCTATCCAAGGCACAGGGGGGGCGTGACAAAAACTGTGGGGTCTGGCGTTGCCGAGCGTTTGTTTTTTTGTCACGGCGCCGCGGGGGCCCTCAAAGGAACGGGTGGTTGGGGGTGCCGTGACAAAAAATCAGTGTTTGGCGCAGCCGAATTCAGTTTTTTTGTCACGGCGCCGTGGGGCCTCTCCAAGCGACGTGGGGGGGGGCCGTGACAAACATCTAAGGGTTTGGCGCTGTCGAACCCCAGTTGTTTCTCTGTCGCGGCGCCGCGGGGCACCTCCAAGGCAGGGTGGGGGGGCCTTGACCAAAATCTTGCGGTTTGGCGCTGCCGAACACCAGCCTTTTTGTCACGACGCCGCGGGCCCCCTCCTACGCAGAGGGGGTGCCCTGACGCAAATCCTGGTGTTTGGCGCTGCCGAACCCCAGGTTTTTTGCCAAGGCGCCGCGGGGCCCTTCCAATGCAGGGGTGGTACCGTGGCAAAAGTCATGGGGTTTGGCGCTGCCGAACACAGGTTTGTGTTGTCAAGGCGCCGCGGGGTTCGTCCGGGTGCCGGGACAAAATCTTGGGGTCTGGCGCTGCCGAACCTCAGTTTTTTTGTCACGGCGCCGCGGGGCCACCCCAAGGCAAGTGGGGGGGGAGGGCGTGACAAAAATCCTAGGGTTTGGCACTGCCGAGCCCCGATTTTTCTGTCACGGCGCCGCGGGGCGCCTCCAAGGCACGGGGGGTTGCGTGACAGAAATCGTGAGGGGCTGGCGCTGCCGAGCGTGTGTTTTTTTTGCCGCGGCGCCGCGGGGCCCTCCAGGGCACGGGGGGGGACGTGGCAAAAGTCCTGGTGTTTGGCGCTGCCGAACCCAAGCTTTTTTGTCACGGCCCCGCGGGGCCCTTCCAAGGCAGAGGGGGTACCGTGACAGAAATCTTTGGGTGTGGCGCTGCCGAACCATTTTTTTTTGTCGCGGCGCCGCGGGGCCCCGCCAAGACAGAGACACTTCCCGCAGTGAAAGTCAATTCTTGTAGGGACTGGTGAAGATGGAACCTCTGAGCATTTGCTTAGGGTGGAGGGCTCAGGGTGAAATCCAAATGGGCTTTTGCACCTCGAATCTCAGTCTGTTTTGTTGCTCGTTTTTTCTCAGATTCAAGCTTCGAAAACCGATCCAAACGGCATTTCAGATTTCACCTTTTGCCCTCCACCTATAGAAACTGCTCAGAGCTTGAAGGGAGGGTTTATTGCAACATCGTTGAGGCGTCTTGTCTACAGTGGTCCTCCTCCTCGGTTTCGTCATCGTCTTCGTTCTCAGGGTCGTCACCCCTGCAGAGTAGGAGGAGGAGTCTGAGTTGTAGGTGCGCCGTCTTCATCCCAATCGTAGTCGGAGGAGGAGGGGGCGCCTGAGGAGGAGGATGAGGAGGAGGAAAAGGACGGGTGTGCGATGACGGGCTGTGCTCGATTGGGTGAAAGGGGGCGCCGAGTCTGGGTCGACGGCAGGGCTGAGGAAACGGAGAGGGACGCGACCTCTCTTCGAACGACTGAGGCCAAGGGCCCGAGAGCGAACGGCCAAGGAGTGCACACAGGGCCCCTCCCCCCAACCGCGGGCAGCTGAAGACCTGGGGCGAGTGTGCCTGCAGAGTTTCCCAACTCATGTCGGAAGCGGGGGCGCAGGAGGTTGAGAGCGGTGCAGAATCTGCTGCATGCCGCCGGTTGCGGCCCGGCCGCCAGGCGCCAGGCGTTTTGCTCGATACATCGGCGCCTCCAGCGCCGGGAGGCGCCAGGGAAATCAGCTACGTGAGCAGTTTCGCACCCCACCTTTACTACTCCACCCCCCTGTCGCCCGACCCGATAAACCGCAAGGGGAGAGTTCGACACGGGTGCCGTGCCAAGCGGGCTTCCTCAAGGGGGTGCAGTTGCCCGCAGCCAAGCCAGTCCGCAATCATTGGAGAAGTGCACCGGGTAGGAGCGGGGATGCCCAGGACAGGGGCGTTCGTGTGCAGATGTGGGACCCTCGGGTACCAGCACTGGACGTCAACAGAATTTGGGAGTCGCAGCCGTAGCGCTGGATGGTCAGCCAGCGGTCCGCATCGCCAGCGCAGCTGCACTGGGGGCGTGCCAGTTGCGCCGTGCTGAATGTTGTCGGCGACTCCGCCTCGGAGGGGGGGATGGGGCCAGGAAGGGGGAGGGGGGGAGGTCGACTAAACGTAAGAGTGACCTTTCGCCGGAGTGACCTTTGGTGCGGGCCCAAGAACGGTAGCAGCGGCTTGCGCGCACAGATTTGGCCACCCCGCATCCCCCATTAAGTCGCGCACCACAGGCCACCCTTGCCTAGGGTCACTTTTGCGTGTAGCCGAAAGGGTGAGGGGGAGAGGGGAGGGCTCCTTGGGGCCGGCTTGCTGTTCCCCTTCATTTTGAGTAGAGGATCGACTGGAGACTTGATTTGCCCCAGATTTGTTTTGTCGTCACATCCATGAAACATGTTTCGTTTTTTGTAGATTCGACCAGGGAGTCCGGGCAAGTCAACTCTGTCGTCGATCCCATATTCGAATACATGTATATATATCTATATATATATGTATATTGATGATCCCAGTTTTTTCTGGACGGCCCCAGAACTCAGAAACGGCAAGCGGCCCCTTGGAGGCCAAGAAATGCAGGCAGCCAGAGGTGGTACTTCGATCTCTTCAAGGCGTTGGAAGTCTGGGGAGTCGGGGGGGGGGGTGGAGGGGAGGCGTGGAGGCGGCGCGCGTGCCAGCCCTCCCTCCTTTCAAACTCCACCAACAAATATACAGAGACGCCCTCCGATGGAACGTTTCTGGGCATCAGCGGAGGGTGGCGGTATATGAATCACCATTGAGGGCCGGCGATGTTGTACACCGCTGCTCTCCCCGAAGGCACAAGCAAAATTCGTCGGAGTGTGTCAGTGTCTATCTATGTGTATATACAAACATAGACATACATACATACATGCATACATACATACATACATACATATATACATACATACATACATACATACATACATACATACATACATACATACATACATACATACATACATACATACATACATACATACATACACACATGCACACATGCACACATGCACACATACACACATACACACACATACACGCATACACACATACACACATACACACACATACATACATACACACATACATACAGACAGACAGACAGACAGACAGACAGACAGACATACATACATTTGTGGCGTACAAATGGGGCCTGAGGAGATGGGGTCGGTGAATCGCGCCGCATCGCCGATTTGGCGGCGATGCGGCTCGATGTGAAGCCCGACTTTCTCCACGCCGACGGCGCCGATGCATCGCCGACGTTGCTGATGCATCGCCAATGCATCGGCGTGCATTGGCGATGCGGCGCGATCTTCCAACCCCGTCCACTTGGGCCCTATTTGGGAGGCTTTCGAGCACTGGAGCGCTCTCCGTCGGCAGGCGCCCGCGACCGCCTCGAAGCCTATGCCACCCAAGCCGGCGGCGACCGCCAAGCCCGCGCCGGCCGCGGAGCCGCCGGCGGGCGCCAAGCAGCCAGCAGCCGCCAAGCCGCAGCCGGCCGCCGCAAAGCAGGCCGCGGCCACCGCGCCGCCGGTCGCAGCGGCCGCCAGGCCCGCAGCTGCAGCGCGGCCGACGGCCCGCAGAGGAGGAAAGGGTACCCTGAGATCTGGGCGTTGCAATCTTTTGACGCTGGGCATGTCGATCCAGGGCGAAAAAGTGCAGCAAAAAATAGAAGACTACGGCTCCAGTCGTGATTGTTCGCGATGTTTCAACTTTTCGCAGCGTCGGATCCCAGGGAAGGTGCCGATACCGCTGCTCGTCCTGGAGAGCCCTCGTCGCCACGGCTGGCTTCCCCTTGAGATCCTGGTCAGAACGCACCCCGGACTGGCGGTATCGCAGCATCTTTCTGTTCCCCCAGGCCGAGCCGCCAGCGGTTGGGAGCCAGCCGGCCGCTGCCAAGCCTGCGATCGCAAAGCGGCCGGCGGCCGCCAAGCCACCGGCCGCGGCCGACGAGCACCCGGCGATCGCCAAGCGGCCAGCGGCCAGCGCGCCAGCGACACTCCAGCAGCCGGCGGCCGCCAGGCCAGCGGCTGTCAAGAAGGCGGCCGTGGCCACGCCTGCGGTCGTTAAGCTGCCAGCTTCGGCCAAGCCACCTGTTGTCAAGCAACCGGCGGCTGCAAAGCCAGCACTAGCCAAGCGGCCAGTGGCTCCTCCAGTGGTGAAGCAGCCGTTGGTTTCGAAGCCCGCGTTGGTGAAGCAACCGGCGATCGCAAAGGTAGTTTTGGCTAAGGAGGCAGTCGCGAAGCCAGCAGCTGCCGCGTCCTCAGTGTCTCAGTGGCCGCTATGTGGGATGAGTCGTGGATATGTCTGAGTGGAGAAGGAAGATGTTGTGTGGTTGTATGATGTAATGTAGCGAACATGACATCCGATCGAGATGACTGGAAGATGTGACTGGCTCGGGGGCGACGAGAGACCCCTTGAAGGTGCCCCGAAGCCAATGCACTGGCCCCAAAGTCGCCGCACAGGACCCCACAGGAGGCAGAGGAGGTTGGGGCCGTCGGGTCGCCAGTGAGCTGTCCAGATGAATACCACCTGCAAGCCGCAAGCTGCCAGGTCAAGGGCAGCGCCACAATCTCGGGCCGAGATTCCTACGAGCAGAGGTTGCCTCCTAAGACCTTCAGGGCTTGCCCCAGCTGGCCTTGCGTGTGAGTGCTAGGAGGGACGGGTGCACTGATTGGTTATTACAAAAGCTTGGCCCGTTTCGCTGGGGGTGTGCTTTGTTCGGACGTTCCAGTGTTGAAGCTGTTTCGAGCTGCCTGAGCTGGTTCTGTTACACATGGTCGCTTTGGATTCGCTTTTACCGGGTCGGAGGTCGGGAGGTGAGATCCAAGCGAAACAGGCGCCCCCTACCCAGAAACCCGTTTCGGGTTTGGTTCGGTTCGTGTCTTGCGCGCGGGCAAAGCGAAATTGCGTGGACACCAGTTGCAGCTAGGGACAGGATCGACAAGTTGCATTCCTCTTCCGGCCCGGGACGGTGGCAGGCCAGTTGTCCTGCGGTTGCGCCGTATGGTTGTCCAATGCGGTTGTTCCACAGTCGCCTTGCATTTGCTCCGTGCGTGTCCAGTGTCCCGTGGTTGTCCCGTCCCGTGCGGGTGTCTCGCGGTTTTCCCGTGGATGTACGTCGGACAGGTCGTTGGCATGGCCGTGTGAGGAACGTTTGCGTAGCGTGTCGCGCCGCCGGTTCTGGCCAAACGCGCCTCGGCGCGATCCGCCAACCACGTCCAGGTCCGCTACACGTTATCCGCTCGAAGGGCATAGCGTGTCGCCGTGGCCATCGCCGCGACACGCTAAGCAAAAATCCGACCGCAACAAGGATGGAGGAGGGAGACCGAAGAGGATGGAGGGAGATGGGGAGATTACGGAGAACAAGGGGATGGGAGAGAGGACACTTTGCATATAAGAGAGAACGCGTTCCACGGTCGCTGGATTGGAAAACACTTGTTAGGGGGGTTCTCGAAACCGCCGCCCACCCCACCCCTGCAGAATCAAAAACCTTAGGTCCGCCCCGAAACCGCTCCCCCCTTCCCCAAATCCTCCCGCGCCCTAATTTCCTCTTGCTGGAACCCGAAAAGCCTAAACACTCCCTCCCCCCATACCCCAAGGTGGGGGAAGGTTGAGGATCAGACGGGGGATAAGGCAGAGGAGTAGAAGGAGGAGGAGGAGGAGGACAAGGAGAAATCCCCTTTACCACCCCCCGTCGGCCGCGGGGGTGCAGAACTCCCCCCCCATACTCGCTGCAGGCAATCGACGACGGCAAGCACTGGCGCCGGAAGACGACGACGGACGACTAACGACGAAGTCGACGACGCCGTCGACGACGACGACTACGACGAAGACGACGACGACGACACGACGCGACGCGACGGCGACTACGACGACGAAGACGACGACGACGAAGACGACGACAACGGACGATTGACGACGGACGACGGACGACGCACGACGGACGACGACGACGACGGCGACGCCGTCGGCGGCTGTAACGACGACGATGGACGATGACGACAGCGACGGTGGCGACGGGGACGGCGACGGCGACGGCGACGCCGTCGCCGACGGCGGTGGCGGCGGCGGCGACCACGACGATAACGACGGACAACTGTCGACGGCCGACGGACGGCGGACGACGACGACCACATACGACGACGCCAACGACGACGCCGAAGACGACGACGAGAAAGGACGAGTACAAGGACGGCGATGACGGCGACGACGAAGACGACGACGCGACGACGACGATGACGCTGGACGACGCGACGACAATGACGACGGTGACAACCGACGACGACGACGCCGACGACGGTGACGGCGACGGCAACGGCGACGGCGACGTTGTGACGGCGGCGACGGCCACGATGACGACGACGACGACGACGACAACGACGACGATGATGACGACGATGACGACGACGACGCGGGGGGGCGGGTCGTTGGCCGGGCGGACCCTAATCAGCGGTACTAGTCGGGCGGGCGGGCCCCAACGGGCGGGTCGGGTCTGGCGGGCGGGACATCAAAGTATGCTGCATAACCGAACTGGCACGTAAGACCGTAAGAGCCCAGACGGGCGGGCCGGGCCCGTCGTGTCTGGCGGGCGGGCCCTCACGAGCTGGTCGGCACAGGCGGGCGGGCCATTAAAGTGCGGCGCGTAGTCGAATCAACACGCGAGAACCATAATGGGCGGGTCGGATCGCGCGGGCGGACCCTAGCAGGCTGGTCGGGTCGGGCGGTTGTACCTTCACGTGCAGGTCGGGTCGGCTGGCGGGACATTCAAGTATGGCGTCAAATCGAATTGACACGCGAGAGACCGAACGGGCGGGCGGGTGGAGTCGCGCGGGCGGATCCTAGTTGGCGGCTCGGGTCGGGTCGGGCGGGCGGCCCATTAAAGTATGGCAAAGAATCGAATTGGCACGCTATAGCATTAACAGGCTGATCGGATCGGGCGGTCGTACCTTAGCGGGCGAGTCGGGTCGGTTGGGTAGAACACTACAGTGTTATGCATCGTCAACTCTGAACGCGAGAACCCGTCGTCGTTTCCCGCCGTCGTCGTCGTCATCGTCGTTGTCGTTTCCGCCGTCCATGGTTCGTCACCCGTTGTCCATCATCCGTCGTCGTCGTCGTCGTCGTCGTCGTCGTCGTCGTCGTAGTCGTCCGTTGTCGTCATTGTCGTCGTCGCCGTCGGCGGCGTCGTCATCGTCGTCCGTCGTCCTCGTTGTCGTTGTTGTCAGTCGTGGTCGTCCGTCATTCGTTGTCGGCGTCGTCATCGTCGTCATCGTCGACCTCGACATCGTTGGTCGTCGGTCGTCGGCGTCGTCGTTGTCGTCGTCGTCCGTCGTCCGTCGTCCGTCATTCGTCCTGCGTCCTTCGGCCTTCATCCTTCGTCCATCGTCCATAGCCGTCGTCGTCCGCCGTCCGTCGTCCGTCCTCGTCGTCATCATCGCCGTCGTCGTCCTCGTCGTCGGCCTTGCCGTGGTCGTCGTCGTTGTCGTTTTCGTCGTCGTCGTTGGCCGTCGTCTTCTGTCGTCGTTTGTCGACGTCGTCTTCGTCGTCTTCGACGTCCGTCGACCGTCATCCGTCGTCCGTCGTCCGTCGTCTGTCATCCGTCGTTCGTCGTCGTCAGTCGTTCGTCGTCCGTCGTCTGTCCTCCAACGTCGTCGCCGTCGACGTCGTCTGCGTCGTCGCGGTCCGGAGTCTGGCGTTGGTACTCGCGGTCGACGTCTGCCAGCAGCGAGTCCAGGGGGGGATATGGGGGGAGCTTCCTTCCGGACCCTCCCCCCCTTGGAATCCCCTTTCCTTTTGCACTGGTTGGTGGGGTCGGCTTTGGATTTCTTCTCGCGCCAGAGGAGGGGGTTGCAACCCTGCACCCCCGTTCCAGGGCACTCAGAACGCGCTTCTTCAGCAAGAGTTATACACACTCACATATACAGACATTTGATATTATATACGTACATACACAAGATTTGACCGATTCGGTTCGCTTCGCCTTAGCATCTTTTTCGCATGGCGCCAGAGAGGCCCGCCGCGGCCAGTGCACGCCAGTGCCGCGATGGCTTCGGTCCCGAGGCTCGGCGCCTCCATTGGAAAGAATGGCAAGTCGGCCAGCGCGGCTCACGGTGGTCATGAGGTTCCAAGGGCCCGCAGGCGTGATTGGGTGCATAGGGTTCCTCGGGCTCATGAGCTCGTTAGGGTTCTAGGGCTCGTAGTGGCCTTGGTCGAACAGACGTCACCGGCTCTTGGGCCCGACAGCGGGCGAGTTCAAAGCTTATGAGGCTCATGGGGCTCATAGGGTTCATTGCGCCCACCGTGCTCATAAGGCTCATAGGGTTCATACTGGGTCTTGGGGGTCATAGGGCTCATCAGGCCCATGGGGCTCATACGGATCATAGAGCTGCTGAGGCTCCTTAGGGCCATGCGGCTCGTGGGGCCCGTGGGGCTGATGGAGCTCAAAGGGGCCGCAGGGGTTATGAGGCGCATAGGCGATACAGGGCTTACAGGGCTCACTTGGCTCGTAGGGCTCATGAGGCTCGTCGGGTTCACATCTGAGGGTTCATAAGGTCATAGGCTCACGAGCGATATAGGGCTCAGAGGGCCCATAAAGCTCATGGGGTTCAAAGGGCCCCTTGGGTCATGAAGCTCGCACGGCTCGTAGGGGTCACAGGGCTTATGGTGTTCGGAGAGGCCATTAGTCGCAAAGGGCTCATAGGGGCCATATGACTCACAGGGCTCACAGCGGCCATTACGGCTCACAGGGGCCATAGGGCTCGCGGCATTGAGAACGTTGATTTGTGCGCAGGGCTCGACGGGCCCATCAAGCTCATGTAGGCTGATGGTGCCGCGTCCATTGGACGCTTGGGAGCAAGGTCGCTAATGAGCTCCTAGGGGAGATGTCTGGGGGGCCTCTTAGCGGGCACAGGACTCATGAGGTTCAGAGGGTTCGCAGGGGTGATAGGTATCGGAGGGGTCGAAGGGTTCATGAGTTCATCAGGATCACGGGTCTCGGATGGGTTGGAAGGCGCATGATGTCGTGAGGAGTATAGGGTTATAGGGCGCTTCGGGCTCGTGGGCTTGTGTGGCGCACAGAGATCGTAAGGGTCATAGGGCAAATGGAGCTGATAGGGCTCAGAGGGCTCGTAGCGCTGACATGGGTCGTAGGATTCGTAGGGCTCGGAGGGCTTATAAGGGTCGGCGGGCTCACATGTGTCGTAAGGCTCAGGAGCTCATTGGGCTCGTAGTGCTGATGGGGCTCATAGAGGTCACAGGGAAGGGTCTCGGGAGCCTCTTGGAGGGCGCGTAGGGCTCACAGGCATCATAGGG